AGTTTTTTAAAAATCAATAAATACATTAAAAATACAAAAATATACTGAATTATCATATTTTTTATTTAAATATTTTTAAAGAATCAGTGAAAACAAGAAAATATAGAAAATAAAAAAAAAATTAATTTTTTAAAAAGTGATTCCTAAAAAGTGAAACCAAATTGTTTAGAAACTTGTTGAAAAAGTTATTTTTTGTGAGTAAAAAATTGATTTGACATTTATTTTTTTAGCTGATGACAAGTAATTTAATGACCTTTTGGTTTTTTTAACAAAAAGTTAGCTGGTTTTGTTAGTCCCCAAACACCCCCCAAGTTTAAGGACCTATAATATAGTATTTTGGTGGTGCTACATACCGTAATTAATATACGTACTAGTATATCAATTAGTGTTATGTCATTATTACTGATCCCATCTATTATACAAATACTTAAAATCTCTAAAATTATGATATATTGTTTATTAGTATATTAGTCATTATATTAATTGGTACATGTAATATTATTCGTAGTCTTTTGTGTTAAGAATTAAAGTGTTGGGTGGAGATTAAATGTGTGTATTGTAAAATCAATGTATAGATTGAATCTAAATCACATATTTATGCAGCATGACTAAGTCCAAAAACAAAATTAAAAATTAAAACCAGTCACCACCATCACCGCTAACATTATTATTAATATAATGATAATTAGAAGTACATTAATTTTAACGTTATAATTCTGTTTGTTCGAACATAAAATATATATGTCAAAAATATTTTATTAATTTGAGTGCTTGAGCCTAAGAAAGTTGAGTGCTTGGGCAAGGACTTATTCACTATTATAGTCCCGTTTGGTAAAACTGTGAGAAAGTGATTATAACTTATACTCTAACAACTTATAGTTTATAACTGTGAACATAAGCTGATTTTTGACTTATAAATTAAGCTTCTCCTCCCCCATTCAAAGAATAAATTGATTTTTGACTTACAAAAAGCTATAAGCTGTATTGTTAAGCTGAACCAAATACATCAAAATAGTTTAAATTAAGTTAAAAGCTGAAATAAGCTGGAAATAAACCCTACCAAACAGGACTTATTTGAACTTTTTCACCTTGGTTGTATATTTAGGAAGAATTACACATTAGTAAGACTAAAAAAAAAATTACAAAAAAGTTATAAATAATATAAATATTAATAATTAAAAAATAAACATTTTCACTTTTTTGTAAATATTTTTTCTAATCCCACTTATATTCAATCTTCTCTATTTTTTATGACGTTCACAGTCAAACATTAGAAAATACAATCAATAAAATTATTTTACAAGTGAAAAATTTGTACATTTATACAAACGAACCTTAATTGTTTTTTTATTTTTAGTAAGTAAACTCAATGAAAAAATGTGCTGAAAAATCTCTTGGTACGGATACATACCATCTAATGAAAAAAAAGAAGAAAAAGGTATAAAGATGGGGGGCTTTTGGTCATTAAGCTTATAAGTTGATTTTTTTGTTTATTATGAAAAGATGTATAAAAAATTAGGGGAATAATGTGACCTAAATAAATCAATAAATAACTTATTTATTGTTGGGATCTGGGATCCCGCCCAAGACCTTATAGAAATCAAAACAAGCAGAAAAACACACCCACACACAAGGAGACACAATATTTTACGTGGTTCGGCCCAATGCCTACGTCCACGGGAGAGTAACCGGTTATCACTATACCAATGAGGAGATTTCAGAAAGATTACAATAGAGGAGGAGCTCACACTCTCCTCACTCAGCCACTCACCCGTCTCCCTCGCTCACACCGAGGGAGACGGTCTCTCTGCCTCACATCTCTCGCACTCTTTGGTTCACGGTTTGCTCACTCACTCTCTTACTCACACTTTGGCCTCTCCTCTCAACCTCCATTTATAGGTGAGGGAGTAGGTGGGAGAGCCTTTGGGCAGCCTCCATCCTTGACTCTTCAAGATGGTTGGTGGCCACCAAGCTTGACTTGGTTGGTTGCCTTCCATTGTTGACCAAGGTGTGTTCCCATGGAAGAGCATCACCTCCTTCACATGGGGTGAATTCAACATTTATGATATTGCCAAACCAAGCTTAAATACATGGCAATGTGGCAAGAATCCCTCACAACAAAAATCTATGTAACAATAGTTCTTCAAATTCTTTTGAATTTTTTTGTTTTTTAAATTTTTTTGGTCGAATTTGTGTTAATTTTTTTTATTCTTTAAACTTGTATAGTGTAGAAGGAACTGTAAAGTAAAATAATAATAATAATAATAATAATAATGATTTTTTTTTTCTAATTTTTTAAATTCTTCTTATTCTGTCATCAGTCTAGTTCAATAAAATCTAAAAGTATAATTTTTTTGAAAAATTATCCCCACCCCAAAAAACAAATACTAAAAAATAATAATAACACAATAGATTGCATAAATACAAAAAATAGAGTGTTAATTATACTAAGACATCCCAACTATTAGTGAATATCATTTTATCTCATCGTCTATAAATACATATATATGTGTATATATATATATTGATAATGTTAACTATGAAATCGTACGAAGGCACTCTTTTTAGAGGTGGTCTATAGTAAGGGTGAGTACGGTTCGAATTGGTTGAGTTTAACCGTAAACTAAGACTAATTCATTACTTACGGTTCCATCAAATTTGGAACTAAACCAATCTATGAAAATTCTGAAACCAATCCGAACTGAACCACTAAATATCGGTTCGGTTCAGTTCTTTTTGGAACTACGAATTTTAAAAATATATCATTATTCACAATATGATCATAAAATATTATTCAAAACCTAAGAATTATTTACATGATTGTTTACAACTAGTTCTATCACTATACAAAAATATACATGTAGCGGTAGAGAATTATAATTTATACATATTTGATACTAATATAATATTTTCATATGTACATTTGGTAACAAATTATATATAATCTAAGCAGTTCGGTCCAATTCCAAATAAATTCGTAACTATAAAATCACAAACCGAACAGTAAAGTACGGTCCACCTATTCAAAAAATCGTAACTGAATTGTACATTGAGAATTTTTTGTGAGAGAGGAGTGTAATGATTATGAGTTGAATTTGATATTTTGTTTTTTGTGACTAAAATAACCTATTTTATTTTTTGTGACTATTTTAGCCCCTAACCCACCAAAACCAACTTCTCAAACTATGCCTCAAACGGTTCAATATATAGGGCTCGTCGAGTTTAAGTAGCTATCGATAGCTACTTGATCGGATCAGATTTCTGTCAACAATTTATTTTGAAAATCATATTCACTATTAACAAAAATATGATTTGATCAAGTGGCTATCGATATTTAATTAATGTGATTTTTTGCAGTGGTGAACTCTTCGGTGAGTTCTACACATTGAACGGTTCGGATTATCGAAACAGGACATATGATAAATTCTCACGGATCCAACAGCACGCTCCGGTCCGATCTTGGAGTGCAGAGAGCTGTGCTCTTACTAATATTATATTTTGAGGTAGAAACAAAGATCATTTTTTTTTTTTAATTTATGTAATTATTTTTTTTTAAAAAAGTGTTTATTGTAATACTACAACATATAAGGTGTTTAAAAACTAATTGATTTGTTCCTAAAAATGAAAATGTTATTACAAAAAATATTTGAGAATAAATTCTATCAAAAGGTGGTCTTGAAGAGTTTTTTAAAAAAATTTGTGACAAAATTTTGAAAATGTCGTTAATAAATACATAAGACAACAATTTGGTGGCGAAAAGTTATTTTTTGAGACAAAAAAATTTGATCAGGAAAGGGATAGTTATTTATTCAATTTTGGTTAACATGTGTTAGTTTCTAAGAAGTGATTTTGTCCTTATTTATTTATTTTTTTTCTATAATCTTAATTTATTGTAGTGCCACTTTCAAAATAACTTTTAATTTCCACCTGTGGCTAACCATAGTCAGCCACCAAGGGTTGGATTGGGTTAGGTTGAGGTTAAAATAGTCACAAAAAAAAATAAAATGGATATTTTAACCTCAAATTAAAAAATCACATTTAAATAATAACTATTTCATTTTTTTTTCACAAAAATTAAAAAAATCAAAACATTCATCTCAAATAACACTTTTTAATCTCAAAAAACATAGACAAAAAATTAAAAAAATTAAAAAATCAACTCCCATACCAAACCAACCCTAACATCCATCAACCACCATCGGCGATCCCACACTGCCGGTCATCTCCTTTCACCAAACTAATTCATCTCTGAACTTGATTACGCCAAAAATAATAAATTAATTTGAGCTACACATACGCTGTGTTTGGTTGGAGATTTGAGGAGGAATTTGGAAAGAAAAAAAGAAAAGGTATGTGAAATTAGGTGAAATAGAAGTATATTTTATTCATATTTCACATACTTTTTTCATTTTCCTTTCCAAATCATTTTTCAAATTTCCCAACCAAACACAGTATTAATGTTCATTTTTAATAGGAAATGGTTGAATGAAAATTTGATATACTTTTTAAAGCAAGGATAACACAGTTATTAAAAATACAAGATTTTAAAATTAATTAAGTAAATTACAATAAACCCCTTAAACTCTGATCCGTTTGTATTTTGTCCTCTCAAATTTCAAAATTCAATAGTTAACTACTTCAAAGTATTATCGTATTACACTTCATGTTACGATTTTTGTTAGGGATTTATATAAAAAAAGGTTAAATTTGAAACACACAACACACTTAGGGTTCGTTTGGCAAGTGACTTTTTTAGTTAAAAAGTTATTAAAAAAAATCAAAAAGGTAGCAACCTATACCAAAAAGTCAAAAATTTCTTTTTCTCTCTACTTTTTGCACATCTTTTCGTAAAAAATCAAAAAGTCATCCCAAACATACTAATTTTTTTTACATCATATTTTAGCTAAAAAACCAAAAAGTTACTAAAAAAACATATTCCCAAACCAAGCCTTAAGGGCAGCTCGAGATTTGTTAAGACCATTAACATTAAATACCAATTTTACGCTTCAAAATACAGGATTGTTAGGAAACGGCAACTTCGAGCTTAGCCCCAATCCATCGGACATGAAAGGGACAGTGGTGCTAAGACACAACGCCCTACCAAAATGGGAGATATCGGGATTAGTAGAGTACATAAAATCGGGTCAAAAGCAAGGCGACATGTTGCTAATAGTGCCAGAGGGAGCATTCGCTGTGAGGCTAGGCAATGAGGCGTCGATCAAGCAAAGGGTTCAAGTGATCAATGGAATGTACTACTCCATCACCTTTAGTGCTGCCCGGACTTGCGCCCAAGAGGAGCGACTCAATGTGTCGGTGGCGCCAGACTCCAGCGTGCTTCCGATGCAGACCTTATATAGCAGTAATGGTTGGGACTCATATGCATGGGCATTTCAAGCAGAAGTTGATGTGGCGGAGATAGTCATACATAATCCTGGAAAGGAGGAAGATCCGGCTTGCGGACCACTTATTGATTCGGTGGCCATTAAAGCTTTGTATCCTCCCAGAGCAACCAACAGTAAGTTATTCTTCCAATCATTGAATCATTAGAATTTAGTTAATTTTTCTAATTATTCATATGAAAATGATAATCATACAAAAAAACTTATAGAAAATGATGTGAATTCTACGATTATGATTTGCTTAGGTAGGAAAAGAGATATGGAGGACATTACACTAAAAATCATAGTTGATACAAATTGGAATGTCCATTAATTAATTGAAATACTTTCTATTAAATGCTATTTTTTTCATAAAAATTTCATTGTGGTCCTATTAACATATGAATATCTACGTACCCTCTCAACATAATGTTAATTGGACTCAATACAAATTTGGTAATTTTTCCTTTACTAGACAATAATTTTAACTCTGCCAATACATGAAATTGCATAAATTATATATTTATGTGTGCCACATCGGTATTTGGGGCACAATTTCTTTGTCCTAAGGGGTCACAAATTGATAACTCAATGTCTAATTGCAATGTCTCTTGCTTGTCATCTTCAATCCAACATGCAATGTTTTGACAATGCCAGCTTCAATTGACCTGGAAAGATGCTTTCTCACATTACTATTAGTCATCATATTGAATATAGTAGGGACAATATTGTGTCTTTAATTTAATATATTAAAACTTGATGTTCACAAAAATCTAATATTATGACTTCAAAGAAAGTTAGATAATAATTCTGTCTTACAATTCATGACAAACCTGATCTTTTGTCACATCTCGATCCCTATGCCAGGTTATCTATCTACTATACGATCAAAACTAGAGAAATTTATCTCATGATATGACAAAAAGATGGTTTGAGATTGGGGATAGGAAAGAACATGACAGAGAATCTTGTTTCGTTTCGTGATAGCATTTAGGTGAACAAGTTGAAGTGTCACTTCACTTTGTAGATGATTGGATAATTGCTTCCATGTTATGTGCAGAAAACATATTAAAAAACGGGGATTTTGAAGAAGGACCATATGTTCTCCCCAACACATCTTGGGGTGTCCTAATCCCGCCAAACATAGAGGATGATCACTCTCCCCTGCCCGGTTGGAAAGTCGAATCTCTCAAAGCTGTCAAGTACATCGATTCCGACCACTTCTCAGTGCCACAGGGAAAACGGGCGGTGGAATTGGTGGCTGGAAAAGAAAGTGCCATTGCTCAAGTGGCACGGACAGTCCCCGGAAAGGTCTACGACCTCTTCTTCGCTGTGGGAGACGCTAGCAACGCTTGCGAAGGGTCCATGATCGTCGAGGCTTTCGCAGGCAGAAACACCATTAAGGTCCCTTATGAATCTAAGGGCAAAGGCGGGTACAAGCGCGCAATCCTTAGGTTTGTGGCTACTACAACGCGAACTCGTATAATGTTTTTTAGCACATTCTACACCATGAGAAATGACGATTTTTCTTCCCTGTGTGGGCCAATTCTTGATGATGTGAAGTTGTTGAGTGTTCAGAAGCCACGACGAATGTAAAAATACTCAGACTATGCTTTAGTAGTAGTCTCATGTATTGAGGAACTGTTTTTTTTTTTTTTTTTTTTTTTCCCTTTGTGTATGAGATTTGAATATTTATTACGGCTGAGTAAGGAATTCGTGAAATCTATAATCTGATCTGGTCCAGTCCAATCCAGTAGATTTGAATTGATTTTTTGAATTCGTGATTAGGTTTCGGATTGAAAAATTAAAAATCTGTAGTCCACAGATCGGTTCCAGATTGAATCTCACGGTTCCGGATTTGAACCGATTCGGACCCTATACAAATAGCCTATATTTATATTATACATCCTCTCGCATAGTATCTTCTATTATTTCATATAAAACATAAACCCGCATAATATCTTCTTTTATTACTTTTATTTGTTGATTTTTTGTTTTAATTTGTAACGGTCTAAATACTTATGGTAAAACCAGTTTTCTCATGGTTGTTTAAATTCTAGAACAGTAAGACATGTTGCTATTGTGAAACTAATATAATACTATGTTTATGTTTTTATGAAATTAAAATGTTCTATATTTTTTTTGTTATTTAATTATGTGAATTTGTGATCTTAAACTGGTCCAATCCGTGTTTAAATGATTCCACGATTTAAACAGATTGGATTGATTCTAATTTTTTAAGAACCATAAATAATAGATTGATCTTGGTTTTATCACAATCGAAACCATTCTCCCTCCAAATATTTATACTAACAATATGTATTTTTGTTGTAAAGAGAAGCAAAGGTTGAAATCTTGGTTCAAGTTGGCATTTTTAGGTATGGTATATAGTCTTATAATAAATATATTTTATACTAATGGTGGGATGGTGTGGCGTAAAAAGTCAGTTTTTTTATTTTTAATTTTTTTACACAAAAAAAAAAAAAAAAAAAAAAAAATCAATTTTTTTAGTTTAAAAAATTACTAAAAAAAGTAAAAAAAATTAAAAAACCAACTTTTTACTGGGTGGTTGTGTACTTGGTCGTCAGAATAAATAATAAAAATTTAAGTTATTTAAGAATTTTTTTTTGAACGGAAGTTATTTAAGATTGTTATTTGGATCCTGATTATAGATATGCAGGAATTTAATTGTTCTTGCTATTGAACCAAACGTTTTAGAGGAATTTACAATGGACTTGATTATGGGCTAACTTTGATGACTATTACTTTTTCAACTTGCCCGTGTAAATTTATCAGGAACCAAACTAGACTTTTGTCTTCTCGTAGGCCAAAATTTGAATAATATTAGAAATTTATAATTTACTCACAATTATATATGACAGTGAATTGGGCATTATATGGTTGAATTTGTGAAAAAAAAAAAAAACACATGTAATTTGCAACAAAGAGATGAGTCCAAAAGAAAAAAGAAAACTTAAAATTAAAAGAAGAAAACAAATAAAAAATATAAGAATAAAAAAAATTACAAAAGACAAAAGAAAGAGAAAAGCACATGAATTGTTTTAAAGTATAAATAAATAAATAAGGGTTGGGGGCCAATACACATCACATAAAAAATAGCAGTAAAAAAAAAGAATACACAGAGGTCATGTTTGATTTACAAAATTAATAGTGAAATATTAATAATTCTATTAAATTAGTATGGTATTCACTATCTAATTGGATTAATATCTATTGGATTAATAATCTCACCCCTATCCCATTACTAATAATCCTATAAATTTGTTGGATTAATTATCCATTGGATTAATTATCCTAAATCAAAATGTTAAAACAAACATAGGGTAATTGAGCCCACGGATTAATAATCTCAATCCCATATACTCTAATCCACCCAATCAAACATGCCCAAATAGTCAAGCCAAAAGTAGAAGGCTACAACCCCTTACAGTCTCCACATAGGTCTATTCCTGAAGTTTATGCATACAATTAAATCATAAAAAATGTCAAAAATATACATGTCCACATAATAAGGCATGATTCTAATAGAAGTAACGAAAATGACAACAATATTAAACTTGTGGTAGTTCAATTGACTAGAATATTTAATACTCACAAAGAGATTAAAGGTTCAATCTTGTTACAAACAAGGAACTAATATGCTAAAGTTGCTATTTCACATGTAAAGTTGGTTTATTATTGGACTAATATGTACACATATCAATAGTGTATATGGTTGACCTCATATGATAATTTGAGGAAGACAAGCTTTCAAAATAAAAAAGATTAATCAGACATAAGTAATCACATTATTAATTCATATATATATATATATATATATATATATTATAGTAAATGAATGATCTATTCTTAAAAATATATAGGTCATATAAATACAAATGATCTATTAATATTACAAACGATATTGAATCAATTTAATTTTTTACATGAATAAGGCCTCGTTTGGGATGTTACCTTTTTAGCCAATTAGTCAAAAAGTTACTAAATTAGCCAATTAGTCATACTAAAAAGTCAACAATTACGGCTTCTCTCTACTTTTTGCACAGCTTTTCGTAATTAGTCAAAAAGTCATCCCAAACATACAAATTTTTTTTACCTATCTTTTTAGCCAATTAACCAAAAAGTTACTAAATTAACCTGTTCCCAAACGAGGCCTAATTTTTTTAATCAATTATAAAAAATGAATATTTAGATTAATCATGGTCAACTTTACCGTACAGTTGAAATATTCAGGCCAAGTTTGGCATGATTGAAAAAAATTAAAAAGTCACTATCCTATTTAAGTCACATCATCTTATTTAAGTCACATCACCTCTCTAACACATCACTTCAAACCCAATTCAAACCCAACTCATATTTCATAAAAAATCAAAAAGTGCACTTATTTAGTCTTCCCAAATTAGGCCTCAATTTTATCAAATCCGAACTCTTAGGCTACCTCCTCTTTTGTATATATATATATATATATATAATAAAATAAAATGATAATATAAATTGGAGGTGAGGGTTCCTCCCTAAGCTTCTCTCGTGGCTCTTTGTCCTAGAGAAGATGGATTTGTTTCAAATCAATTTTTGTCATTGTGCTTCATTGTCACACTGGTGCATGTTGGTGCCTGGAGGCACGCTTAAAAAATTGTTTAAATGAAAATGTAATTCAATGTAAAATTATAAGTAAATGAGATAGTGAAAAGTAAATACATAAATATTACGTAAAATTTAAGCACAACAAAAGTATAAAATTTTAAACAAATAACAAAATATAAATCCCACAATACATAAACATATAATAAAAATCAAACGAAATACGTCAGTCAGTGTTCTGTAATAGAAAAAAATAAACAACAAATTAAGCATACCAGCTAATGCTATACAATAAAAAGAAAATGTCAAATAACAAATTAAACACACCAGTCAATGTTCTGTAATACAAAAAAAAAAATGACAAATAACAAATTAAACACATCAACTAATATTCTACAATCACACATTTACAAGGTGATTTGAAAACAAAAAAGAAACGGAGAAAAAAAAAATCTTATAGTCATTAGCATTTATCTCACATTTTTTTATTTTATTTTTAAATTCTCGTCTAAATTTATAACCCAAACATAATTTTAAAATGAGTTTTATTATTAATATTATTATTATTGGTTTCAACCCATGCATTTCTTTGCTTATTTTTGGATGAATTAGAGAAATGTAGATCAAACATGCAAATGTGGGAGTTCTCAAACTAACTGAATTTTTTAGAGTGAGTTGCATAATATAGTAAGGAATTAACAAACGGAAGGGATTTTTTTTTTGTTTTTTTTTTTAAGCAATGTGGATTACCTTCCGGTTATAATCTAGATGACAATTGTATTTTTAAAAATAGATCATTCATTTTTTTTTTTTGACAAATACAATAAATTAAATATGTTATGATTATCGTATTGATTTAATTTTTTTGTGTGAATGACGTATATAAAATACCTGATAATATAAACTATTTGAATCATTAAAACAAAACTCATGATAAACTGTTGGGTCCAAATAGCACCCTCCTATTCATAATCCACCTCCTTCTTGAACTACTTGGATAAAACTAAGGGTGAGCAGCGGATATACTGATCCGTCAAAACCGACCGAACCGAACCGAACCAATTCGCCACATTTGGACGGATGCATGATGACGAGCGGACGGTTGCGGATTGATTTTCTCCAATCCGCCAATTTGGCGGACGGATGGCGGATTTGAAGTTCCTTTGGCCGCAACCGAACCGCCAAACCGTGAGCACCCTTAGTAATTTATAAGACTTTGTGTTTTCAATTTGTTTAAATATTTTGTTTGTGTTTTCAATTGAAAAAGAGTTCAAATATTCTGTTGAAAAAAAGTTTTCAACTTGAATATATTTTTTGAATTGAAAAAAATAAACGTATTATTTATCTGTATTTTTTGGTTTTTAAATCTAACTCTAAAAGTAACAAATAGAAAATATGATATATACTGGTTGGTTTTTGTTTTCAAAAATATATATAAATGTAACAATACAGAGACATACAATCTCTACTATTGCTCTGTTTATGGTTTTAGTGGTTTGAATTGTTTTTATATTTTAAGAACCACACAGATTGTAATATTTTATGTGGATGAGACATGCTGTGATTGTAATATGTGGATGAGGCATGCAATAATTGTAATATTCTAAAGTTTCAAATTTTCTTTTTTTAGATGAGACATGTAGTAATTGTAATATTTTTTTAAGTCATTGGCTGTAATACTTTCTTCTTTTTTTTGAGGAAGTGCACAAGTTGAACTATATTGAAAATTTATAAAATTTCAAACTGCCAAACCAATTCGCATCCATCCGCCAAACCACCAATCCGCTCAATCCACATCCACCGAATTGACGAACGGATGACGGATTGGAGATTCCGTGGCCGTAACCGACCCGCGCCCACCCCCTAGATAAACTGTTTGGATAACAAAGTTTAACAAAATTTGAAGTTACAAAATTCTCTATCGATTTTATCCTTTGGCCATTTAATTGAGGTATGAGACTTTTTGGAGTTGGAATAATTTAATTGGGACACCATTTATGTTGTCCATATTTAAATTTTCAAACAAAAGTCAAATGTATTAACTACTAAGTCTCCGTTTGGGAAGTGAGTTGGTTTTTTGGCTTTTTGATTTTTTTGGCTATTTTAGCCTGGGGCTAAAAAGCCTGGTTTGGGAAAGACTTTTTGACTTTTTTGGCTTTTTAGCTTTTTGGTGAGGTGTCATCTTGTTAAATGACGAAATTGCCCTTTTCCATTTTTTTTAATTTTTTTATTTGGGTTTGGATTTGGCATATTTTCGGGTTTTTTTTTTTTTTTTTTTTTTTTTTTTTTTTTACAATTTTGGCTTTTTGTTGGAAAAAAAAAATTTTGTTTTTTTTTTTGGTATTTTTTTTTTCAATTTTGGATTTTTTTAAAATTTATTTATTTATTTATTTTTGGATTTGGCATATTTTGGTTATTTTTTTATTTTAATTTTTTTATGTTATCTTTCGATTTCGCGTATTTTGCTATTTATTTTTTTGGGGGGGTTTGGATTTGGCTTTTTTTTTGTGTTTTTTTTCTTTTTCTTTTTTTTTTTATATTGGGTGTCGATCTGCCGACTTTTGCTTAATTTGTTTATTTTATTTTTTTTTTATTTTGGGTTTGAATTTGCCATATTTTGGTTCTTCTTTTTTATTTTAATTTGTTTATGTTAGGGTTTCGATTTTGCCTTTTTTTGTTTTTTTTTGGGGGATTTCGCTTTGGCATTTTTTGCTTTATGTTTTTTCGTTGACAATTTTTTTATGTTGTGTTTCGATCTCCCGAATTTTGCAAATCCAAATTTTTTAGTTTTTTATTTGTTTTTTTTTTTTGAGTTTGACGGATTTTGCGTTTTTTTTTTGTTTGAAATTTTTTTATTTTGCGCTTGGATTTTTCATATTTTGCTTAATTTTTTTTCCTGTTACTTTTATTAATTTTGGGTTTGGATTTGGGGTATTGTGCTTAAATTTTTCGATTTTTATTTGGGAATTTATGTTTTGTCTTTTTAATTTTTTTTTTTTTTACTATACCTATGTTTTTTTTGAACTATGTTTTTTTTTTTGTCTTGGATTTTTATTTTTAACTATGTCTTAGTTTTTTTTTTTCTTTTTTTTTAATGAGGCGCATTTTTGTCGTTTTTTTTTAATTTACGTTTTTGTAATTTTTTTTTTGTATACATTAATTTGGTTTTATATTTGACAAATGGGTTTTCGTGTGTTTTATTTTTTTATAAATTACGTGGTAAATGCTAATTTCTGTTGTTATGTTTTTTATTTTTGTTTTTGTTTGGATGAGCCGTATTTTGGTCGTTCTTTTTTTTTAATTTACGTTTTTGTCATTTTATTTTTTTGTATACATTAATTTGTGTTTATATTTCAAAAATGGGGTTTCATGTGTTTTATGTATTTGTAAATTACGTGGCAAATGCTCATTTTTGGTTTTTAAAATTTATTTTTTATTTTTTGGATGAGCTGTATTTTTGTCGTTCTTTTTTTTTAATTTACGGTTTTGTCAAAAAAAAATTGTATATATTAATTTGGTAAATGTTTTTTTTTTTACGTGGCAAATGTAAAAAAAGATTTTTGGTAAATTTTTGGTAAATTTTTTTTGTTAAATTAATTTTTTTGGTAAATTAATTTGTCGCGTAAATTTTTTTTGGTACATTAATTTGGTAAATTTTTTTTTGTATACATTAATTGTTAACTTTATTTTTTTACGTGGCTCAGTTCACGATTTTGTACACATGACGTGGCAAATGTTCTTTTTTTTTTTTTAATTTACGAGAACCGGATAGTGTGAACAAAGACCCAGGGGTAATTTGGTAATTTCATGCCTCATTGTATGTAAGATGCAATCCTGAAGCCTTTTTGTCCTGTAGTGGCTAATTTAGCCAATTTCGTCCTGTAGTGGCTAATTTAGCCCGTAACTTCCTTCCCAAACAGGCTCTAAATAATAAATAATTTTTTGACATAGACTTGAGAACAATTCATTTTTGTTTGGGAGTTATGTCCGAACATTTAATTTTATTTCAAAATATATATATATGAATAATATAAATGATATATACTGAGATTCTTTATGTTATGTAAATAAAATTTCTCTTAAAATTAGTATTATATAAATGGGTAGTGCTACATCCCAATAATTTTGCCCGCTCAATAACGTGGCTAACCTTCATATGAAGCGGTCTCATACTTTTCTCTTTCTTATCTTTAGTCTTCTTAATTCCACATCTTTAAAGGTGCAATTCCACATCTTTAAAGGTGAGATAGGGAGAACATTATTCTATATAAACAGTGTGAAATAATTTAAGAGTCTTATTTCTTGTTAAAATTCCTATATTATCACTTATTTGGGCTGGGCTAATATGGGCCGGACTATTGTCTCTTTTTGGTTTTTTGATTTTTTTGGCTATTTTAGCCTGGGCTAAAAAATTTGGTTTGGAAAGGACTTTTTGGTTTTTTGACCTTTTTTTGTGAGAGAATAATGTAATGATTATGGGTTGGATGTGATATTTTATTTTTTGTGGCTAAAATAGCCTATTTTATCTTTTGTGGCTAAAATAGCCAAAAAAACCCCGTTTAGCTCTTGCCAAACGGAGCCTAATTGCTTATTTGATTTTTTAATTATATTAACTTAATTAAAATAATTGTATTTATTTGATTTTTAATTGTATTTATTTGATTTTTTAATTATTTTAACTTAATTAAAATAATTGTATTTAAAAAATTAATTGATTTTTTTAATTGATTTAATAATTATAAATTAAATAATTATTTTAATTTATTTTAAGTTATTTTAACCCATGTCGACGGGGTAGATTTGAAATTCAAAATTGCCAACTAGGTCCGATCACGTGAGTTGCATGGGATCTGTAGAACTCATCCGAGGGTTCTTTTTAATTCTAATCGGACGGTCCAGAGAGTCGCGTCAGCTAAAAGCTATGTTTTAGGTCTCAAATCGCAAAACCTGTCACTTCTGTCTCATATAAACTCTCAAACCCTCTCTCTCTCTCTCTCTCTCATCGACTCGGCCAAGTCTCAGACGTCATCAATGGTGAGTCCTCATCCTTTTCTCTACGACTCTCCCTCTCTTTCGATCTCATTTTCTATGGAAAATGTGCTTTTTTCAAAACATAGAGAGGCTAGGGTTTATATTCTTTCTTTCTTTTCTTTTCTTTTTTGTAGTGATTTGTGGTTGTTTGTGGTGTAGGCTTTGCCAAATCAGCAGACTGTTGATTATCCCAGTTTCAAGCTTGTAATTGTTGGTGATGGTGGAACAGGTAACCTTTCTTATTTATTTTAATCAGTATAATCTGTTTGGTTGCTGAGAAAATATGGGGTTAGAAGTTAATTTCTTTGAGTGATCGTTGCTTTAGGGCTTTGATCAAAAGTAAACACAGAAATATTATTAGTTTCTATAAAATTAATTGTTTAGGTCTTTTCATTGCTTTATTCTGTCATTTTTAGGGGTTTGATTGATGTTGGCTGATTTCTAGTGTCTGTTATTGATTTAGGTCTTTCTTGTTAGGTTGTTTCATTTTTATGATTTCCTTAAGCTCCGTTTGATTAGAAAGACAATTTGGTAGAAAGTGAAATTAAAATAAAATGAAGTGAAAGAAAAGAAAATATATTTTCTTGCAAGCATTTGATTAAGATGAAAATTTTGTAAGAAAAAGATAAAAAAATTTAAAAGTTTAGTTATAGATAACTCATACATTTAATTGTTCTTGTGTTTTTTTGCAAGAAATAAAAAATTAGTTACAATGCTAATTTGGGTTGTACAGGAAAATCTTTCACTTTCCACCACTTTCAAGCTTAAAAAAAAAAATTTCTCTTTCTTTCACTTTCTACCTATTTCATTCTAAACAGACTAAGCTTTATTTTGGGAGTGTTTGAGAAGTTGCTATATTAGTAGGCTATTTTAGTAGGCTAAAAGTTTTGTGTTTGGAAAGATAGTTTGTTTGTTTGTTTTTTTTTTTTGCAGTTGATGTTTGTGAAAGAAAAAGTGCAATGATTATGAGTTTGATTTAACATTTCATCTTATTGGCTATTTTAGCTTATTTTGTCATTTTGTAGATTTTAGTCCAAAAAGCCAAAAAAAACCCTTTGCCAAACACTCCCTTTATTTAATTTTGGTTTCCATTTCTTATAGTTAGCCTTTTTATTACATGTTGCTTTTATGGTATTAGCTTCAGTGAAGTTGTCTTATGCTGAAATCAAAGTGTTGGTGTGATATAGGGAAAACGACATTTGTGAAGAGACATCTTACTGGTGAATTTGAGAAGAAATATGAGCGTAAGTCTGCTGAAAAATGGGTCACCTTTTTCTTTTGTATTGAATTTGTATTAGGTTATGTTTTCTGGGTTTTTATTTTTATGTGTAAGACCATCTTATATTTATTTATTGTTGTATTTATCATGAATAGCAACCATTGGCGTGGAAGTTCATCCTCTGGATTTCTTCACCAACTGTGGAAAAATTAGGTTTTATTGCTGGGACACAGCAGGGCAGGAGAAATTCGGTGGCCTTAGGGATGGCTACTAGTAAGTAAATCTGTTTGTTTTATTTGTTTGATCATAGCTGAATTTCTGTTGTGTGGCAAATATTAAGATGTATTATTGTAATTTATACACATTCAATACATGGCCATTTGCTTCTATACACGTTCAATGTATGACCAAATTATTAGAACTAGAAGTATATTGGATCCCACATTGAATATAGTATCAAGTTTTGTTTATGTGATAAATATTTGTGCCTTCTTATTTTAATAAGTATGAATAAAATATTTTTCAGTTATATCTAAGAATAGCGGTTTCTAGATGGAACCTTTGTTTTTTTGTGAGCAAATGTTCATCAGTGGGTTTTTTTTTTTTGTGTGGTCATAATTGGATTTTAAATAATTTTTTATGTTTTCTTTTCTTCATGTTTCTTGTTTTTGACATAATGTTGCCTGACATCAATGGTGTCAAATACCACAGCATATTGGAAATTGGAATACTAATTTTGTTAGACCTGGTCGCTTTTCAGACACTTGGGGGGAGGGGACACAAGTGTCAATCACTTGGACACACGTGAAACTAATTATAAGTTTGAACAAAATAACCTAGGGTGCAAAGATAAAAGAAAAATAATGTAGATTTACGAAACAATTAGCATTCTGTTGCATTTTTTTATTACTATCTTTGAATGATATATTTATATACATGATATATAATAAATACATAAAACTATATATTTTTTGCGTCTCCCTCCGTGTCATGTCCTGCATTTTATAAAAGTTGCTGTCGGTGTGTTCGTGTAGTATTGTGTCCGTGTCTGTGTTGATGCTTCTTAGGATATATGGCTCTCTGTTGGTGTCTCTGCTTGTCTAGATTGCCAATCAATAATCATGTAAAAATGAGATCCAGATCATTGAATCGTTTGTTACTCCTATCTTAGATTGTCAAAGTGATCCAATTCTCCTATCTTAGATTGTCGAAGTGATCCAATTCGGTGTAAAATAAGTATTATAGCAGCATTGCAAGTAGGATCATTGGGATGGTAATTTTTCACCATGCTGTAGTGTACGTCATTATTATATTTTTTTTTCTTTAATTGAAGTAAAATATAATGATCCTCGATCCAATCCGTGGAACCCTCTCACCGGGTCCTACATAAGATCTTGATTTTAACACCCATGCCCATCACTGATTTCTTAAGTAGTTTTGATGTTTGCTTTGGGAGGATTTCATTTATTTAGTTGGTGCACAATAAATTTTAGGTTGAATATGGTACCAAGATGAAGTTTTTATTTGTGGGATGTTTGTTATGTTTCATATTATCTGAGTATTGTGCTCAAGCTTTGTATTACGTGCAGTATCCATGGACAATGTGCCATCATCATGTTTGATGTAACTGCCCGATTGACTTACAAGAATGTTCCCACATGGCACCGGGATCTCTGCAGGTAAGTTTCAAAGATCTTTAATTTCATAGTTTCTGGGTGGATTAGACTACTGTGCCACAGTTTTGAAATACTCAAGTACTTTCATGTTATCAATGTCAGGGTGTGTGAGAATATTCCAATTGTGCTTTGCGGAAACAAGGTTGATGTGAAGAACAGGCAAGTGAAGGCAAAGCAAGTTACTTTCCATAGGAAAAAGAACTTGCAATACTATGAGATTTCAGCAAAGAGCAATTACAACTTTGAGAAACCTTTCCTGTACCTCGCCAGAAAACTTGCAGGGTAAAGACCCTTTGAAATAGACATTACTACGCTTTCTCTTAGTTATGCATGTTTAAGGCTTTCGGTACCAAAAATGTTTTTCTGGTTGCAGAGATGCAAACTTGCATTTTGTGGAGTCTCCCGCCCTTGCCCCTCCAGAAGTGCAGATTGACATGGCTGCTCAGCAACAGTAAGTTTTTGTTTCCTTTTAATTACAACTATGCATCTCTCTCTCTCTCTCTCTCTCTCCCTCTCTCTCTCGTGTACATGCTTGGCAAAATTTTTAGTAACCCAACCAGTCTTCCTTGCATTGGAACTCATTGAGAACTGATTATTATAGGAAATATTCTTCCTACTACCATAGTTTACCATTGGAAACCCTTTTAGACCCCTCACCTCCTTCCCTATCTCCTTGTGCAAGCACATTCATCATTAGTGTTTTTATATTTACTTCATCCCCGTCATTAATTTGCTTCCTAACTGTGGATATACTGTGTGGGTTGTTGGTGATTTCTGCAGGCATGAGGCTGAGCTTGCTGCAGCTGCAAGTCAGCCTCTTCCAGATGATGATGATGATGCATTTGAATAGATGATGGGATTCCTCCTCGGAGAGAAAAGTTACAGCCCAAGTCGTGTCTCATTCCCTTTGTGATGGGTTCGTTGGTGTTCTATCATACATGGCTTTGTTAGGATTTTATGTTTCCAGCTCCAATTATTGAGAGCATTTTGGATTATATGTGTAGGGTGGTTTGGAATTGTTATTAGATATGTTGCTTGGTATTTGTTTGTGAAGAGGGTATGATGTGTGCGGACTTTTAATTCTCGTTTGATATTGAGCTTTCTTGTTTTTGGCAGAAGTTGATGACATAACTTGTGTCCACCATGGCTTTGTTAAGGAAGATGCGGTTAAGAAGACATTCCTGATTGTTTCTGTAGGTGCTGATGGCTCCGGGACCGTGTTTACAGAGGTCCCTTGAAATAATTATCTCCTATTTAACAAACAATTCTATGGATTGGAAAACCAAATTACATGAAAGGCACAATAGGTGTCATTCATTTTGTCTAGTCCTATGTAACTAAAATTATGCTAGCAGTACAATCTTTTTTACTTAGTAAGGGTCCGTTTGGGAAGAACTAAAGTGGGTTTTTTTGGTTATTTTAGTCACAAAAGACAAAATAGGCTATTTTAGTTATAAAAAATAAAATATCACATTCAATTTATAATCATTACACTCTTTTCTCATAAAAAAAGTTAAAAAAGTCAAAAAGTTCTTCCCAAGTCAAACTTTTTAACGCATGTTAAAATAGTCAAAAAAGTCAAAAAGTCAATCTACTTTCCAAACGGAGGCTAAAGCTATTGTTTAGACTCGTAGGCTTCTTAGTTTTGTGAATTAGTTTTTTGGACAAATTTCATTTTACTCTCTTATAGTTTGGGGCATGTGCGTATTATCCCTGATATTCGAATATTATCATATAATCTTGATGTAATTGGTGGATTAAAACGCATTTTAAGATCAAAATATTCCTAGAACATCTTTAAATTTGTAAAGAGGTGACATGGGTCTTCCTCTTTAAAATTACAATCCAAAATAAAAACTTAAATTAATTTAAACAACATAATTTCTATCAAAAATTAATGTATATATATAATCTGTAGCTATATATATGTATATATTCAAATCAACAAATCTAATGTATATATATGTATACATAATCTGTATTCTTATTCAGCTACACTTTCTGCACATAACCTAAATCAACAAATCTCCGCAATCAAATTCACAAGGTTACATTTGATTCAATATAAATTTGATTCAATATAAATAAACTAAGGCCTGTTTGGTTTTAATTTTTTAAGTTAATAACAATTATATCATTAGATTTGCAAGCTTTTTTTTATTTTATTTTTTTTCTTGAGCTCATTCTTAAATTGAAGATCAAACCTTATAAATATATATAACAGTGAATATATACATATATATATATACACTTCATAAAAATTATGTTTTTTTATATTTCTTTTAAAATAGTTTGATCGGAATAATAGATTTTAGGAATATATATACATATATATATATAGATTATATATATGCAGCTTGCAAGTTTATACATGTGTGTGTGTGTGTGTGTGTGTTAGAGTTGGTAGCATGAAGCTAAATCAAGTGTTTTATTGAATAGAAGTGAAAATTTGTTGAATGGGTATGGAGGAAGAAGAAGAGAAGGAAGAGAGAGAGAGAGAGAGAGAGAGAGAGAAGAAGAAGAAGAAGAAGAAGGGTGTAACACTTTTGGGTATGATGAAGAAGAAGAGAACGAAGAGAGAGAGAGAGAAGGGTATAACTGTCAATTTATAATTTCTGTTAACAAAAGTTAATGTGCGTTTTAGTCCACCAATCACAAGGGGGTTATATGGTGATTTCCGAATGTCAGAGGGTAATCCGCACCTGACCCAAACCACAGGGGGATAAAGTGAAGTTTGTCTTAATTTTTTTTAAGTAGATTTTTATTTTCTATAAAAAAAAGTGTAAAAAAAATAGAGAATGAGTTGACATTTTGTATTATTTTTTGTCTAGTTTAATCTAGTCTCAAACAGTTTTAAAAAATGCTGACATCTTTCTGAAGCAACCTCTGATTCATGTGTACAGCGGTTCATTTCTCAGTTTACTGTCTTTTGTTCTCCAGTTGTATTTTAGAACGAAGCATTTACATGGTTAAAAAGGAGTTTAGTAAGTTCTCAAGAAAATAATAAATAAATAAGTTCAGTATTTATTTCCTAAAAATACAGCAATTGTTTGTTATATAAGAATGCTAAGATTGCAATTAAATGGCATTGTGCTGATGTACAAACCTAGAAGACAATGATGAGAATCAACACCAAGTTATACAAGTAAGACGGTGGGTATTGCTAAACATGGCTTTCAAAGCATCAAATCCATACACACGTCCTGCCGATACAATGAAGAGCGATTGATACAACCAGTTACACAACTAACATGAGGCCTTCATGGCAGAATAACTTCAAATTCAAATCCATAGCCATTTTTCTATGCATCCTTGTTGCTACTCACTACATTTAATTGCTCTAAAATTTCCCTTTCCAGTCTTTTTGACCAGTTATTTGTTAGCACATTGTATCAATCTGGCATCATGAGCTTCCTCGTTTGCCCACACTACCATACAAACTTGTAGACTCTGGCATCATGAGCTTCCTCGAAATGCTGTAGACGACACCTATGCAGAGTGGTCCTGCTTAGTGTGACAACTTCATCATCTCTGTCCGTGTTTCGAAATCAGTAGGTAGCTTGGTTCCCATCTTGTAATTTCACTTGCTCAGGAAATACCTCGTGTGATAATTCATCTCATTTGTTGCTCTGTTTTATGCCTTCTAAAACAATGAAACAAGTTTGTCTGTGCGTCTTCTTCATCCCCTCTTCTGGCCTTAAATGACTCTTGAGCTTTCTACGGTGACCATATCAACACAGAATCTCATCCAAGCCTGAAAGTGAATTACAAATGAATTCATTCCATATTCATGATTGGCAAATAAAATTTAATTAATACCAAAAATAAAATAAAATTGCGCTCGAGGTTGAGATATTGACTCAACAAAGGTGTGCTAACAATATGTGAAGAGTCCAGAAAAAAGGAAACTGTCAAAGGGTGCCAGACAGCATGCTTGCAAGGAGGCTAAAACAAATTCTGCATACTCCTTACCTGAAGGCTTAAAACTGAGAAAAATAATAATTTTGCTGGACAAGACACTCGGCAGATGCTTTGAGTCTTAATTAAAATTTAAAGTTCATAATATCAGACACTTCGATGACACTTCTTAAACCCTTTGAAAAACAACCCATGAATCTCTTCACAATAACATTGTCTTACATTCTTTAGAATGCAACTTGTAAACTCTAAATAAGTTTTGAAACATTTATAAAACAAATATATCATACGTATTTCAATGTTCAACAATTGATTTGTATTCTATAAATTGCAATTGGTACATGAATGGTATCTTTATGTTTAAGGTATATAAAATACATGACTTTTCAATTTCAATTAGTGTTATATTTTTTTTTCTTTTGAATAAACTACTCATAAATTACATATAATAAATTTATATCAATGTGTCCCTTGCGTATCGTGTCCTACGTATTTTAAAAACCACTGTGTCATTGTGTACGTGGTTGTGTTACTTATGCTCCCCGCTTTGTCAGACATGCCAGCCCCTCCCCCTGCATGTTCGTGGATTTAAATTCTTTTCTTGACTATCCCCACATTAATTATTTTGGCACAAAAGAAAGAACACCAATTTTCTCCAAAATGACCATAAGATGGAAGAGCATGATACAGGATGAGTTCAAGAAACCTTATCCCTCAGCAATGACTACGCAGAGCCACCTGTCCCAAGCATTGAAAAATTGGAGCTGTGAGGCGAATTGTAATGCCTCCATTCAGACCAAAGCACATACAATCCGGAAAAGAATCACCAGGAGAACTGTTATATTGTTATAGACAAGGAAGCAATAAGAAAATTTTACACAGAATAATCTTAGAATAAACATCATTTGTGTTAAAAAAAACAATAGAGCAATAAAGATTCACATCATGAAAGTTGTACTTATCGGAAGAAATTAAATAGTAACCAAATACATATACCCATGAGAGCTAAAATAGTGAGAAGAAACATGTTTTGGTGAATAAACAGCTGTAAAAATAAAAATATCTTCATTGCTCTCTCAACGGCCGAACGCCTAAGTCGTACAATTTCTGCATTCCCGATATCTTCGAAGGTACATCCTCTATCAAAGTAACCTCTTGATTCAGAAAGTATAATCACCTCTTAGTCAATCTATATACATCCACGATTCTGGCAAAGCACCTCTAACTTGCTTATTTATGACTACCCAACCTTTGTACTTGGAGAAAACTGACAGAAACTTAGGTTCCATCCATGAGCAAGATTATATAATAGAAAGAAAATAATAGAACACTTCAATGACATTGCAGTATAGGAACTGTGTTCCATGTGTATGGGATTCTCTCACTTCCAAAGACAAGATAGATTCTTAATATTATGTTGCCTAGTAAACAATTAGTCAGTAGTTCCGCAATCAGCTTCAAATCCACGTATATATACATAGGTAATATTACCTCCTCAAAAATTTATATGAACAAAGGGCCAACCTTTATGCATAGAGAAAAATCTTCTACTGAATGTATTATGATGCATATCATGTACATGATTTTATTTAAAATAATTATCTAATTACAATGATGTATGAAATCAGGTATCCATCAACCAAGGTCATTTTCGGAATTGAAGGGGCTTTGCAAACTGGCTTTCTTCCCTTTGTTAAAAAGAGACAACCAACTGACACCTCAGTAGATAAAATCACTCCTGGATTTGGCTTCTAAGATTTCTAATATCCTGTTAGTTTAAAGCACTTTTTCAAAGACATTCACATTTAGAAAGGAGAGAACCCTAATGACAAGGCCACAATCTTGAAATAATACAATGCAAAACTTATATTTATAGACAAATAACCCTAATTAAAATACGGAACTAAAACCCAAATAAAAAGATCAAATTAGAATCCCTAATAAAATAGGAAGGCAAATATTAATAAAACTCCTAATAAGCTAAAAAATAAAATAAATATTAATAATAAAGACAAAATTGATGTGCGCACATTCCATATCACTCTCTCCAACTAAGAAAAAAAACTCGATCTCAAGTTCCCTTTTAAATATTTAACTCCTCAGATGCCAACGAATCAAATATTTCCAATATGCCAGCTACTTCAGTTTCTTCCAAAACCAACTAATCTTCATTCCCAAATTGTTGACAAGGTCCACTAGATATTGGATTGAGGATACAAAGAAAATCCTCAAAATCAATAAAATTAACTGTTTCGAACTTGATTAAATAATCGATTGGTAGTGCATCAATAGGATCAAACGATTTGAAGCTCTTCATGTTCAAGAATCTCTTCTTTCAGTAAAACCATGTTGCGTGTGGGATTTTCTTGCCCTTCAGTGGCTTCTTGAACTTCTAATAGCACTTTCCTCATAGTTTGGATATGCTTGATCAACAAGTTCCACTTGACCCTCACAATCCCTTTGAGAAACTCCTGTAGTATCCCCCAAAAGTTGCGATCTAACAATTTGTCCAAATTGCTAATGACATCTCCTTATTTTGTTTCTCTTGAGAAAATATTTCAAACTCAGAATACAACGGAAATAAATAACAAACAATAAATATATATATATTTTTTTTGGCTACTGGACTGGCTGGATTTGATGTTTGGACTGGGTTGATTTATGGTCTAGGCTTAATGAATTGGTTGAGTGGGTTTTGGTTTGGGCCTATATAAAAAATGGGTTAGTGGACTTGGGTAATTGATTGAAACTGGGTGGGGTCACTATAAGTGAAATGAACTTGGTTTGGATTAAGCTCCTAGTGATTTGGATAACTTTACCCAGTGTTAGTCTCTGGTAGCGAGGGTGTTTAGAGTGGTAAGACTAGAGGCAGACCTAACCTTTGGCAGCATTTGTACAAAGAAGTTCAGTGAACCATTCAAACAAGTGGTGGTGACAAACATTATGAAATAGTATTAGCTTTTAAACACGTTATCCAAATTATTTATTATATGGTAGAGTAGGTGTTAGTTTTTCATATTAATGTATTATAGTGCCAAGCTTATACATCCCTTTTGAACCTACAAAACCTGATTTTTAACCAAGAGATATTCAACACCTAGTGCAAAATTCATGACAGCGTAAATCCTATTGCACATCATAAATCAGATTCCACTATAGGATTTATGAAGAGATTTTTAACCAAAAGATTTTAAATTGATCAATCTGCTCCCAAGAGAACAAATCCAAATTTCCACCACTCTATACCATCCATATCCTTAATCACAAAAAATCTCAATGGTTAGAGTGCATCAAGAGTGTTGGATGATTATAGGATCATTATGAAGTTTTTTTTATTTATTTTTTTATTTTTTATAAATATAGGATCATTATGAAGTTTAAAAAGATATATAAGACTTCTACAGGCTTGTTATGATGTAATATGTATGGTACATAATATTAAGTGGTTAAAAAACACGATGTCGAAAAAATAGCATAGCTGAAATGACAATGTTGAAATTAATGAATGGTGTTACAAGAAAACATAACTTAAGAACACATTAGGGAGAAGTTAGAAGTGGCATCAACTGAAAATAAAATGAGGACAAGTCATTTGAGATGATATGAATTGACACGCCAAAAAGGAGGAGTGATTTGATTAATTTTGAGGGTGCTAAAAGAATAGAGGAAGGCCAACAAGGACATAGGTTGAAAAGGTAAGAAAGAACAATATATATAGCATATTTCTTCTTTTGACACTGCTCCTTTAAAGCCTTGCCCTTTTGTCCATTGTAATTAATTGAACAATGAAGAAGTCATTTAAATTCTCTCTCTCTCTCTCTCTCTCACACACACACACACACTATCTCTCTCGTTCTTTCAAATTAGGAACAAGTTTATTAAAGATAAGAAAGGTATGAAGCACAGAAAGAAAAGTTCTTCACATATTTGAGGGGAAAAAATATAGAAAACCAAACCTAAAAGGAAAAGAGAAACTAAACACAGAGAGGCTAAAGACACAGATACCCTCAACTGAAGGGAGTAAAAAATAATTCCTACACTCATGAAGAGAAACAGGTGCTCTTTCAGTCATGAAATCGAGGATGAGTGCAGATGTTACTTGATTAAAAGAAAACTAAAGTAAAAATGGAATAGTCAATACTCTGTTAATTTTGTTTCTGTATATTCCTTTATATATCATCATGTTAGCTTAACTATCAAGGGCACATGATAATGAAATCTGTGAAATCCCAAAATTCAACACTAACATAATAAATTTTCTATCCTCCACCTCCTACTACTATTACTCTCAAACAATAGTGTGGTTAGCATGGCATACTTCAAGGAAAATAGAAAATCACTGATAATAAATTTCAGAACATATAGGCCATGTTTGTTTGGGTGGATATGAGCTTAAGATTGGACTAATAGTCCAATAAAATTATTAATCTGAAGTTTGGTTAAACAATTGAAGTACGGACTAACAATCTATCCGGATATGGTATCTCACATATGATGGACTATTCAATCCCGCAAAAGGGGGTGGGATATAAATTGGAGGACTAAGCCGAAGTCTGGACTATTAGTCCCTCCTTATAATCCTAACTCAATCCAAACATAAGATAGGATACACAATCCAAAAAGATTGTAGTCCTAGGACTATTAGTCATGGGAACACTAATCCAAGCTAATCCAATCCACCCAAACAAACATGACCATAAAGTATTACTTCAGAATAGTAAACCAGATTGTGTAAAACTAACCCAGAGAGAAAGGGAGAGTAATTTGGTAATCAAAGTTCATAATATTTATATATTTGAATTTGTTTTGTTTTATCTTTTTCAGCAGGCACTGTATGTGTATTTAACCATTAAGCATTACAAGAATTTTACCTTCACAAGTCATTAACTATGGACTACAGACTAAAATGGCACTAACCTTCCATATCAGGACGTTTATGAAAGCTTCCCCAGACATATGCTTTTGCTTCCTTCAGCAGAAGAAAACAGTTCTAAAAAGCTGGACTGAAATGGGATGTATTAATGAAACAGTATAATCACTGATACCAATGGCAATCCGTGAATTGGCCTATTTGTGGGGAATAATATGCAGATATTGCCTCATTGTTTATGCCAAGAAAAAGACAGCAACCCCAGCATCACCTTTAGAACTTTGGAAGCAAGGGATGCGTGCCTCCAACTTTGGCCCTGGAAAATGTAGGGATTTATCAATAGCGAACTTGCATATGCTTCCAAATAGTATGGAGAAAATCGTAGCTATTCTAAATTTGATTGAAAAATATGTTTTATTAAAGCCAAATAGCATTGAATAAATGCATGTCATACAATTAATGCCATGACTCCACTAAATAGGAACCTAATAACTGTGCTTTCTATCAGTCTTTTGGATAATCATTAACGTTGTTTAATATCTGAGTAATTTCCCATGCAAAATTGCACGTAGCCAATGATAAAGCTTCCCTGTGCCTTTGTGCAGCTCTAGAACCCAAGTAAGTTTCTTCATGAAGAAAAAGAATGTTGATAAGACTGACTAATTTTAAATATGCAGGAGGCAACATATAGATTGGAAACGTTTATATCATTACGGACATGCATCAAACAAAGAAGCATATGATTTGAATATTACATTTCAATCAAAACTGAAAGTAATAATTGATGTCTGCCATATGTTTATCAGTGTGTCACTTAAATGTAACACTCACAGAGATATCATGTAAGAAATAAATACAGAAATGTTTTTATATCTGCCAAATATATATTTTTATTTGGCTTACAACTCTTTTTAAGAACTGAAATATTCAAGGTCATATTATTACGAGGTGTAACACATTATAAGTCTCAAAACAAAAACCAAATGAGTAAACCAGGATGACACAGGATACATTCATTTCTTTGTACGAATTTTTATACATAATTTCAAAATTACAAAAACCAACTGTCTAGGCAAAAGAAGATGATATAAACAAGATAGAAGTTACATTTCCATGGACATCAAAGACAAAAAGAGGATCCTACAATGAAAGGTAAAAAAAGAGAACCCTTCAACTGTTAACATGTATGAATACCAGTTCCAGAAGAAATTAAATTCCTAAGCTCCATCAAATGTTCATCATTTGAAATATGGAGCGTAATACGAAGATTTGTCAACAATGCTTCTTGTTCCCAACTTAAGGGGCCAGAAGCATACAATGCCTCTAGAGTGCACCGATATGCATGCAACTCAATTCTATGGATACACACTGACACTTCCTCTCCTGGAGGAGAGAGACAGTTTTCCTGTTTTGGTGAACCATAAAAAGATTCTGCATCACTACAAAGGGTATCTGTATCTTGACAACGACTCACAACAAAATGACTAGGAAACCTATTTGGACTCTCACTAGTAACGCTGCAACTACCAACAGAACATGCATCACTATCAGAATCATAAGGTTCTGAACTTCTTGAAAGAGAACAGGCAACCAAACCACTTAGTTTTTCCCTCTCCATTTCATAATAGCCATTTGATCTATTGTTAGAGGAAGAATGCATGTATTTTTCACCCAGATTTTCTCGTGGGTAAGCAACAGCATCTACCTTTTCTCGTAACACATCCAGAACAAACCTCTGCCGCCTACCATCTTTCTCAATTGCTCTTGTTTTCTGAACATTTCCAGTGCATGCATCGAAAAGAGAGGAGAAGTGGGGAGATGCTCTCTTCAGCATTCTAGAAGAAACCATATGAGATTCCTGTAATCCAGCTTTGTCCTGAACAGCAAGACGATCATCTCCTGCTTGCAGTTTGGTCTTTGCATTGGCTTGTGGCATTTGGAAGCTTGTCTTCTGATAACAATTTGAAGTTGACAGCTTGATAGTTTTCACATCTTCACAACTTCTAGAGCCCTGCTGCAGCAACCAACATATAATCAGACAATGCAAAGATGGTATGGCACATAACAGCCATGTACAATTTACACATATATGGGGGGAAATACAGAAAACACAACAAGCAAGAAAGCATTTTTAGAAATCCAAGAGGTATAATACAAATGCTTTAAAAGACACTATGAGTGACAACAATGCACAAACCTGCTATAAGACAAAAGAATAGGAGTCCCAAATCTAGAACTCTAACAAGGTCAACTCATAAATCATCAGAAAATTCATATAGATAAAAGGGCAAACCAATGCACAAGGCTCATGCTAAAGCAGGGTCTAGAGAGAGCAAGATGTATATAGTCTTATCCCCATTTTTGGAGAGCTGGTTTCTGTAACTCGAACCCACACCATCAAGATGCCAACGGAAAGCCTTTACCGTTAGGTCAAGCTTCCCTTTCAGAAAATTCATGTAGATGAGAGGCAAAAAATGCAAAACAAAACAAAAAAATGTATGTCAACTACCCATACTAAAGTTTTCACAAACATATCAAACAAAGTTAAAGCAGTTTAGAAGGGCCCGAGAAGAATTATGCAATGCCCTTGACAGTTTCCAAACACAAAGAACAATCAATGCAGAAAAAGGGATTACTATATATAACAAACGCTAGAACATACACACAAATAAAAGAAACAAAAAGAATACCTTTCCGATCACAACCCAAATATTGTCTTGCCAAGATTGTCGCACCCTGGTGTTTGATTTGTGAACTCTGAATTCCTGGGGAACTCCAAGTAACTTCACCAAATAATGATCTCTGTCCAAAACCTTCAAGACTCGAGCAATATTCCACGAAATATTATCGTAAACCTCCACAATATCACCAGCCACCCAACTCCTCACGCCTTCCACAGGAGGAGGACAAGGCCTAATAGACTTCCTAGACACCCTCTCAACCACAAACTCACTTGTTGAGCCTGGAAAATAATCATACTTCACACTGTAAGTATGCCCATTACCAGAGATGATTTCGGCACAGTGCCATGAGAACGGAACCTTTTTCCTCATAACCTCCACTTTAGTTCCTCTCTTGAAACTCATGATGGGTATAATTATGAAAAACTAAGTACACAAAACCTGGCAAAATCAGAAACCCAAAAGACATTTAGAATTTGTCCACACATAAGCACAAAACTAAATTGAAAAACAGAGAGGCCTATGATTAATACAGGCCATGCTCTTCTATATAGTATTATATAAACATTTGTTAATAATTAAAACAAAAAAACAAAAAGTTCCCTTTTCCATAGAATGCATCTAGGGTTTCATGAATTTAGACAAATAATGGACCTGATCAAGACAAACCTTAGCAATATGGTGCCCACTTTCAAATCAATCTCTCTTCATAACGATCTGTGCTAAAAACCCAATAATCCCCCGAATATATATAGAGGATAAACCACAGTTTAGCCAATACCAAACCATTACCCCCACATGATTCACAAACAAGGGACAAATGATGCCCTCAAAAAACAAAAGCCAAAAATTACCCAAAAAAAAAAAAGTTACAATTAATCAACAACCCACCAAATCATATCCTCAGCACAAAAGAACTGCAACTCAAATCCTACAACATTAGATTTATTAACCAAATTTAATTAAACCCCAACAAACAACACTTGACAAGCATATAATCAATAATTTAAATTAAAAAAAAAAAAAGAAGAAGAAAACAACATTAAATTTCCAATAAATTCCAGAACAAATTTAGAAGTTAAATCACTTCGACAAGATCTTCAACATAATATCGTAAAAAAAATTACAAATTAATACCCAAAAAGCAGTAAAAAAATGAACACATTAAGCATTGAAAGGCAAGAAAACGAAACCCTAGAAATCAAAATCACTCACCTTTCCTTAATCTCTGCGTAAAAAATTGAATCTTGGCTTGGGGAATTTGTTGTTTATGATCTCATATACGATTTCGATTTGGAATTTGTGTTTCTAGGGTTTGTAAAAATAATAAAAAAATAAAATTGTGATTATATAACAGTTGAGGGTATTATCGGAATGAGGAAGTTTGGTATTGGTTCCAAAACCAGAAAAGTTAGGATTGCGTAGTGCGCCCATCTTTTTTGCCTTGCACATCAAGAAGAGACCATTTCACATTTGTTTGAAATTTTAAATTTTAAAAGTAGAAGTGTGTACTTTGGTTAATAATTAATTAAAAATAATAAAATAGTTAATTAAAAATAATAAAATAGGATAGCTGTTTAGAAATTCACCTTAGACATTAAGGTCCCACTTGATAAAGTATACAGTATTTTGTTTTTCATTTACGGAAAATACCAAACATATTTATGTTTATTTTTTATAAAAATAAAAAATATATGTTTAGTACATGTATGTTTTAAAAAAATTTATCAAAACGGATGGCTGACAAGAGAAGGTTGTCGGCTTGGGAGGTGGTTGGTGGTAGGTAAAAGTGGTTGCTAACCATAAGAAGTAGTGGTCAAAAGTGATTGTCAACAGTCAGAAATGATGATTGGTTAGTCACTTTAAAGTGGTAACTAAAGGTGATTTCCAATAAAAAATAGAAACTAAAGGTGCTTACTATCAATGAGGTGGTTAGCGACTGAGGAATGTGGTGGTCAGATGAGGTCATTGGTGATAGTAGCTAGTAATGATGAGTAATGAGTGATAGTCAAAAATGGAAAAACAAAACAAAACAAAACAAAACAAATGAGACAAATGGTTGGTGATATATAAGATATTGAGAAGGAGTTTTTATGAGCATTCAGGCCGAGCTAGGCCCAGGCGTAGTAATAAGCCGTTCTATGGCCATGGTGGAAAGGGCTTAACGAGTGGACCTTAGTATTAGCTCAGTCCAAATATGGTTACAGTCACCACGGTCGGAGTGGTGATAATTAGCTCGATCATAGTATTCGGAGCCGAGGTATTTGGGCTTCTTATAGTGAACCTTGCTCTTGTTAGCTCGGTCAAAACTTGCTGTAGTTTGCTTGGTCTCAACAAACAAAACCGAGGTACAAGTGAACAAAGAGCCAAGCTATGTGTTGCATATGAAGGCGCTGGATTAAGTATGACAAAGGGCTAGTGTTAGCTCGGTCATACTGTTATCCAACCGAGGTAAAACCATCTCACTTGGTTAAGCAGTGAGGGGGGTGTTGAAGGATAAACATTATCTTTCAGGAGTGTGATTCCGAGGAGGACTCTACATGGAGGAATAAGAGTCCTACTAGGATTGTGCCGGGCAAAAACTATAAAAGCTCACAACATAACCTATGTAGAGGTAACACAACTTTGATTCTTGAATACACAGAGCTTTTTGTCTATTCTGCTAGCTTAAGCATCAGAGAGGTATCCAGTACACACCCGCTGGCTAGCTCACATTTGTGTTTTTAGGGAGTAAAGCGGCGACGTTTGGAGGAGCTTAAACTTGATCAACAGGATTATACGAGAAGATTATTCTGCGCTCGTACAATTGGCGCTGTCTGTGGGAATTTCACAAAGAACAAAACCTCTTGATCAAGCTTTACTCTCTAGTTAGAAGCAATGGCGCACAATGAAGACTTGCCGCAATCAGTTACTGATGGGCAAACCCCGGAGGGGGGTGAGAGGCGCGAATGTTTGCCTTCTATCCCTCCCATGGCGGATTTAGAACCCCAGCGACAGTACCCCCGGAGGGATGCAAGTGGAAGGCGGGCTGGCAGCCCCCGTCGCTCTCAAAGCCCTAAAAAACAGAAGCGGAGGATGGACCCTCAAGTTCTGGAGGATCGTGTTAAGGAGCAGGACGAGTTAATAAGGAGGATGGTGGTAGACATGGAGTCGATGAGGCGCCAGATAAAAGGAAAAGGGGTGGCGATAGGAGAGGGGTGCAAAGGCAACACGCCCCCTCACTACTCGGAGGATCATGATAGGCGTACCACACCATCGCAAACAGAAAGTAGGAGCCTTAGAACAGGCGGCACTCAATCAAGGACTTCTAGGACTCGTTACTCCAGGTCTGAGAGAACGAGAACTAAGAGGTCATATACTGAGGGAAGCACATATCGGCCCTCGCACATGCACCAGATGTCATCTAGGCACACGGAGTTTCCTAGATCATCTGACTTACGTACTGTGCTTGTAGAAAGGGCCCGATGGAAGGAGGATACTAAGGCACGTGACCCGCGCAGAGTTTCAGCCCTTCAGCGGTTGGCCCCTCGGACGCACGGAAGCGTCGAGGTAGGAATGCCAATACCGCGCCTTGCTTATGAACCAACAGACAACGTATTAGCAAGGTTACAAAGTTCGTCGTTCGTCCCGGCAATTGAGAATGCACCATTACCCTCAGGCTTCCACCAGTCCAAATTCACCACTTATGAGGGGAAGTCTGACCCCTACATGCACCTGAGCCACTTTCGCCAGGTTATGGCAGTATACCGGCGAAACGAGGCTTTAATGTGCATCCTATTCCCATCCAGCCTTGGTGGCCTAGGTCTAACCTGGTTTGAAAGGCTACCAGAAGGCAGCATTGCCTCCTGGGCACAATTGGCAGAGGCGTTCGTGACTAGGTTCAAAACGAACACCAGGACACCAATGGAGATCGATCAGCTACTCTCTATTGACATAGGCGACAAAGAGACGTTGAGATCTTACAACAGTCGCTACTGGAAAACCTTCAACCAGATTGGGGATTGCCCTACAGACCTCGCCATTGCACAATACAAACGGGGCCTGCTAGTCGGTAACAAATTGAGGGACTCAATTACTATGACGCAACCCCTCACGATGGAGGCCTTAATGGAGAGAGTGCACCAACATATTCGTGTAGAGGAAGATAGCGCCCGTGCTAAGGCAAAATCAGGCACAACGACAATACCAGATAAAAAGACTATAGCAAAAGTCAAGATGGTAGAACAACCAAACAGGAATGGGCGAGGCAGGCGGTCCAACAAAGAGGACTCAGACAAAAGAAGGTTAAGAGTTCACACTGCCATTACCACGGTGTTCAAAAAACCAATCTACCGAATTCTCAGTGAGATACGCAATGAACCTTTCGTTCGATGCCCAGCTAAGTTGGGAGAAGCACAAAAAGACTATAACGAGAGGTCTTGGTGCACCTTCCATGATGAAAAGGGGCATCGCACTGAAAATTGCACGCCGTTGAGGCAACATTTGGAGGAGTTAGTGGCAGCAGGGCACCTGGACCAGTACATAGAAGGAGGAACACAGCCAGCCCTCCAAAACCACAACAACCCAAACGGGATGCCGATCGACGCTCCACCTCAAGGCGTAATCAACGTGATACATGGGATATTCGAACCTGAGCGGGTATATAAGCTCAGGGAGATGATTAAAAAGGCTGAGCACTTAAGGAAGGTATTAAGTGCACAACCTGCCATCAAAAATGGGAGAACAGGGGCCACAAATGTCATATCTTTTTCAGACAAAGATTTTGCAAAGATATACTACCCTCACAATGATGCGCTGGTTGTCACTCTACGCATCAAGAATTTCGACATCAAGCGGATTTTGATTGACCAAGGAAGCTCATGTGAGATAATGTATTACAAAACCTTCAAACAACTGAAACTGGAGGATAAAGACCTGGCACCTGCCACATCTCCCCTAATCGGATTCAACTCAATGCCAGAGTGGCCAGTGGGCAGGATAATCCTCCCAATCAAGGCAGGAACCATGACGAAACAGGTGGAATTCTGGGTATTGAAAGTTCCTTCCACTTACAACATAATCTTGGGAAGGACATGGTTACACGCCATGCGACCGGTAGCGTCAACTTACCATCAAATATTGCGGCTCCCCAACGAAGCCGGAGTAATTGAAGAGGTCTTTGGAGACCAAATTATGTCAAAACAATGCTTCGTTACAGTAAATGGCGGTTGCACTGCAAAAGGATATGTACAGATAGTGGAAGAGCCTGAGAACAATGAACTATTTGCGGATGTTGGCAAGGAAGCTGAACAGAAGGCAGTGGAAGACTTGGTACAGGTAAGGATAGATGAAAAGAACCCAGAAAAGTTCTTTTTGCTCGGCTCGCCTTTGTCCAGCACTGAGAGAATAAAGGTCATGGAATTCTTAACCTCTAACATCGAAGTGTTTGCATGGACGCCGTATGACATGCCTGGCATTAATCCAAACTTCATCTGTCACCAACTGAACGTCCACCCAACTGCCAGACCAATTATACAACGCACTCGCAGATCAGTACTCCATCATGCCGAGATAGTAACGGAAGAAATGGGAAACTTGCTAGAGGCAGGAGCTATCAGAGAAGTGCACTATCCCAGGTAGATCTCCAATATCGTAGTAGTACCAAAGAAGAACGAAAAATGGCAAAACAGTCAACAAGGCATACCCAGAGGATAGCTTTCCCCTACCACGGATAGACTAACTAGTAGACCTGACGGCAGGGCACAATCGACTTAGCTTTCTAGATGCGTATAAAGGTTACCATCAGATCGCTATGTATGAACCAGACCAGGAGGTCACATAATTTACGACACCGAGATGACTATACTGTTACAAGGTCATGCCCTTTGGCCTAAAGAACGCAGGGGCTACATTTCAACGGATAATCACCAAGATATTTGAACCATTGTTAGGCAGAACAATGGAAGCTTACATAGACGACATGGTGGTCAAAAGTAAGGATGAGAAGGACCATCTCAGAAACCTAGACGAAATATTCCAAATACTAAAGAAGAACAAGTTGCGTCTAAATGCATCTAAGTGTGCGTTCGGCGTAGGATCAGGCAAATTCCTAGGCTTCCTGGTGACCAATCGAGGCATAGAAGTAGACCCCTCTCAGATTAAAGCAATCCAAGAACTTAAGAGGCCTAACACAGTCAAAGAGGTACAGCATCTCACTGGCCTAGCAGCCGCGCTTAACTGGTTCATAAGTCGGTCATCAGACAGATGTCTACTATTCTTCCAAGCATTGAAGGCCAAATTTGAGTGGGATGAAGAATGCGATCACGCCCTAGAGAGCCTGAAAAACTACATGACTTCTCCTCCATTGCTAGTAACCCTAGTACCTGGAGAGGAACTCTTTTTATACTTGACAGTATCACAGCATGCAATCAGTGCTGTGTTGGTCAGAGCGGAAGGAATCCAACACCTGCCTA